TCTGGGATCGTGTCTTCTGGGGTCTTTCAATCTCCGCTTTTTCGCTTGAACTTTTGAACTAGATTCTGCAGACTTGAAGCTCGCTCACACACAAAGTTGTCTATTGTCTAGCTGTGCCTCAATTCTCCCAAGACGTGAGTTTTACTTTTCCCACATCTCTCTCTTTCTGCCCCGATCTCCATTGGCAATTTTGGGTCCGAGGTTTTATTACATTAACGTTTGCAATTTGGCGTAATCGGTTCTATGATTTATGGTATCTCAAGCTATCAGCCAAAAGCAACACATCGCACTAAAGGGAGGCGAAGAGACGGCATCGTCTATTGAAAGCAAATTGGAAAGTATCGGAGGGCATTCAAAAAGTGTAAGCACAAAGTTCGTCAGTCAGACGGCAAAGTCAGGCAAGGAAATTAAATTGAAAGCCTTGCAGGCTGCGGAAAAGGAAGGCAAAGATATAGATGTTGATGTAGACTTAGCCCAACCTACTTACCCACTCGAGTGTCTGAATGTTTGTGCATTAAATATGGCGTGGATAATAAAAGCAGCCGAATCAGCAGAGGGGCGGCACTGTGGGGGCGTGGCTGGTGCATGGTATACCGTGGATGTGCTACCTATACCATCCACCATCCGAATCCACCACCCACCACCCACCACTTGCAACTTGTCCTTGCCTCTGTGTATGTGTGCCACATGGCGTATGATGGATTTATGTTTAAGTTGCGTGCAAGCAACTTAATGGATTTTGTAATTTTCAGAAAAACGAAAGAAGAACACTCTTCTTTTTGTATTCATGTCTATATATCGCAGTACACATAGAGAGTCGAAGCCAAAGACAGGGCGGAAAAAAAAAGTTGGCCAGAACAAACTATCTCGTAGATACTTGCGCACACACATTCGGAATGGTTCATCCTCAAGATTCCGCCACTTCCCACCCACTGCCAATCCCCCTGCCGATGGCAAATAGAGACGGGCTGCCGTGAGGCATGAGTCGAGCTCTTGCACCAAAGAATTGGAGCATGCCAAGTTATAAAAAATGTTGCTCGAGCATCATAATATATGCGGCACATAAGCATCGCAACGAGCCAAAACCGAGACATCCTCTCTGACTCTGTTTCTTTGGCAAAGGAAAAGTTGAAAACGAAAACAAACATTCGGGTGGGAGAACTTGAAAAGCAAGCCGAACTTATCATGCCCTGCGGAAATAACCTTGGAACGAGCCAAGTATGAATTAGTTTTCCAAAAGTCAAGCTTAGCAGTGAACTTAAATGTTAATATAAATTATACTGCAAGTTTGTTCATTTGTTTATTTTTAACTTTTGGGAGTGAATGGATTATAAATGTACTGTGTTCAATGATGCCAGAAATAAAGTGAACGAAGAGAGGTCTTAAATATTAAACTATCCTTATAAAAGGATGTAGACATATTTCCTTTCTTACCGATTGTACCAGCTAACCAACCCAAAGTTTCGAATGAAGACAAGTACATAAAGAAGAGGTTAAATAAAAAGGAGGAAAGAAGAGCTGAGCAACGGAAAATTTCACTCGAGAAAACTTTTGGCAATGCTCTTGACTCGGCTTATTAAATATTAATTATGCAACTGGCAGCCGAGTCGCACTGCGAGTGTAGAGCAATAGCAATGACAGAGTTGATATGCTTCCCCGTTTTATGGCCAGAACCACTTGGCCTAAGGAGACGAGTTATTATTCTAGTGCCACTAGGCGTGTCAGCTCATTCAATTCTGGGCTCTTCTATAGTTATAGTCCCCATTATTATCATCCCCATCATCATCATCATGAGCTGTTGACGAATTTGGGCATTTGACACGAAACACGATATACATTTGCATCTAAGGCAAGATGAACGAGTGTATCTATAACAATTCGTGTATCTCAAGTGCTGTCAACGAGCGGAATGCGCAACAATCTACGAAAAAAGCGAATCACGTGGGAGCTGCAGATACTTGCAGCGTACTTACAGATACGAGTGCTTTGGGCTTTGTCTATCCTCACGCATTAGCAATGCTAATTGTGATTTCAGTTGCTGACAAGTGATCTGGCCAAAATCATCTTTATTTTTATGGCAAAACTCGTTTGCCAGCCGATCATCATCATAATGCCCCTGAGGATCGTGGGCGTGCATCTATTAGCCCGCGTGTGTGTGTCTCTATCTTCTACAATGAATCTCGACTGATCGAGCGGGGAGTGAAGGGCCCTGGCCCCGTCCAATTGCCAGCTAATCGAGCGAGCAGCAGGCAAATCGACTTTGCCAGCGGGCAAACACAATTTTGGATTTTATTTTACAGCCAACCAAATTGATCTGTAAACCAAACTTTCGAACTGGAGATCTGCTCTAGATTTCGTTGCCGCTTTCGAGATACACACAAATTTTGAATTCGTTACGGCTCTGTGGATGCTTTTTGTGCTCAGAGCCGATTTAATTGCTCAAACCGACTTCCCCTTCGGTGAGGGCGCGCCGCAGACAACTAAGCATTTGTCATTATAAAAATTACATTTAATTATATTTATTTTATGCCAAAACAACAAATGCTCCCGCTCCCAACTTCCGTTCCAGCATAGTTAAAAGAGCGACTCGATTCGGTTCGGTTCGGTGTTGTTGTTTAGCAAAGCGTGCGGGAAATTCATTAGCAATATTTATGACTCGCTGTTTTGTGTTGTTTTTTTTTTGTTTTGGTTCAACCTTTTCTGTACACTTTTTTCACATTTCTACCGACTAATTTCCATGGCAATGGAATAGACAGGCACAGCAGCAATAACAACAACAAAATGGTAGATAGTCATAGCGTCATTATTGTTACTCTCTGGCAGCCATTGAGAACCCCCCTGCCCCCAACTCACCTTTCCCGATTTTCTCTACCTTTTTCCATTGTATTTTGTTAGAATTTGTAGCCTCATTGTTGCTGCTTATGTAAACAATTCTGTGTGAGTGTTAGTCACTTATTTATTGCTGCAAAAGTGCATTGAGAATTCAGATTTCAGAGAGAGAGAATGCTAAATCAAAGGCCAGGTCTTTGGGGAAAATTTCAATTCTATTATACAGACTGTATCGCATTATCAGATCTGACAAATTACGGCAACAAGTTGTTGATTCGGTTTCGTGTTTATTGGCAGCTCCGAAAATTAATTAATTGCCTTCACGGAAATCAATTTCATTTATAACATTTGCGCAACCAAATATGTATTATGCGCTGTAGGTATATGTTATGTTTATTGCATATAGATTTTGCATGTTCTGCGGCCATTGCGCATACGCCTGTTTGGCCACTCATTAATCGCAATTTTTGGCCATAAATCTCACGCCACTTGATACCGAACACACTTTAAAATACACATAAGCCCACACATATCCGTGCTTCATTGTCTATTATATATTCATAGTGCGGTTGCTTTTCGGTATTTCTATCACTTATTAATCAAACAGGATTAGTGCTGCTGCCATCCCCAAATCATCGTTTGTCTGTTGATTAGTGGGGGTCATATTAAATTCGCATTTGGTCTTGAATCATCTTCTGCCGGAAAGCTAATGAAGTCTTAGATAGTTTAAAGTTAGTTTCATCTTCTGCATAATTTGTCATATGCACAATATGTGCCAGATACAAATCACAGGCGTCGAAGTGAAGGGAAAAAGTGGAACGGAGGTTCGATTCTGTCCTTGCTCCATTATAATCCGCATTCAAAGCCTTGCTTTGTGTTATACCCCGCATATATTTACACATCAACTCACATCCATATGCATATAGATCCCGAAACGTATCCTCGAGATCTGAACTTTAGTTATGTGCATATTTTTGCCAGCTCCACCGAGCGTTTGTAATACAATTTCGGTTTGTTGTCAGCTCAATTTTCAAGTTGTTTCAGATACACACCCCCTCCCTGCTCTCAAGTGAATTCTGGAGTGAGTGCGAGTGTATCGTGGGTTTTTGTTTGTTTGTTTGCCTTGCGGTTGCTGTTATTCCCATTTTGCTGCTGTTGCTTCTATGTATTTAAATTTTTTCGTACCCAACTACGCAATGGAGCTGCCAGCAGCTGGCCTTGTTGTTGCTTCTGATGTCTCACTATGATAAGCGTAAGTAAGTGTGTGCTACACTGCAAGAAACAACAAGAGCACTCTGTGTTTTGATGGAATGACCCACTGCCTTAACATTCCTTGCATATTTGTCAATGCTCGCAATTTAAAATGCAGATTGTTTCGACAAACATCCAAACGAACTTGGCCAAGAATCGAAGTTAAGAGTCACATGAATTGTCTTATTTGTGATTTCAATTGGAAAATATCCATCTAATTCAATAAACTTGATGTAATAGGTAATCATTTTTATAGCAAGGAAAGTGTACATAACAGCTTCGCATTTATGTAACTTTCAGTACATTTTTGGTCTCAATGTTTGTCACTCACTTTTCCTGCTCACCCTTTATCGAACATATTTGCTTTTGATTTATGCAGTGTTGTTCGAGACCTTCATTCTACCCTCTCCCATTTTGCTCTCGTGTAAACATTTGCATTATGTTAAATAAACCCGTCATTTTTTTCGACAATATCGAAATATTATTTGCATATACGCAAAAACAATAACCCAAACTCTGCTCAAATATTTGACTTCTATGGAAAGCTTAGAACTGAAGCTCTTCTTTACATGTAGCTGAATACATTTTTGAGACTAGTGTTATTCAATCTAATACTTTTTGAAATGTATTTAAGTTATTGTTTAATTAAATAAAACAGCTTAATATTTGACGAAAACAATAAAGCTTTTTAAACAAAAGTAATTTTAGATATTGGAGATTTTAACTCAAGTGTCGATTGCCAACAAAAATTTCAAATTAAAAGTAGTAAAAATTAAAATCTAATTATAATAAATATTCATTTTATCTTATTTTGTAAATGACAAGATCATTAGAGATGTAACAGGTTTTGTTATGTAAAAACAGAAAAACTAAACGAATTTTATTATTCCTTTCCCTTTCAGTAAAACTGATTCGTCAAAATAGCCAACTACCAGGACCTGTTGGGCAGCCATCATCAACTGCTCATAGCCGCCACCGCCGCCGCCGCTGCAGCAGCCGCCGAACCGCAACTGCAACTGCAACATCTGTTGCCAGCAGCGCCGACGACACCAGCAGCCATTAGCCATCCGATAAGCAATCCGATCAATTCGATAAGCCCAATCAGTTCGATTAGCCCGATCAGTCAGATCAGCAGCCACAACCCGAACCACAACAACCAGCAGGCGGTGTTTGAAAAAGCCATCACCATTTCGTCGATTGCGATAAAACGCAGGCCGACGCTGCCGCAGACGCCAGCAAGTGCCCCACAGGTGTTGTCGCCGTCGCCCAAGCGCCAGTGTGCCGCCGCCGTCTCCGTGCTGCCGGTGACCGTTCCCGTGCCCGTTCCGGTCTCCGTGCCGCTGCCCGTCTCCGTGCCCGTGCCCGTCTCGGTCAAAGGTCACCCGATCTCGCACTCACACCAGATCGCCCACTCGCATCAGATCTCGCATTCGCATCCGATCTCGCATCCGCACCACCACCAGCTGAGCTTCGCCCATCCCACGCAGTTCGCGGCCGCCGTTGCCGCCCACCACCAACAGCAGCAGCAAGTGCAGCAGCAGCAGCAACAACAGCAGCAGCAGCAAGTGCAGCAGCAACAGGTTGCCTACGCAGTTGCCGCCTCACCGCAGTTGCAGCAACAACAGCAGCAGCAACAGCAGCGACTGGCCCAGTTCAATCAGGCGGCAGCAGCAGCTCTCTTGAATCAACACTTGCAGCAGCAACAGCAGGCCCAGCAGCAATCTCTGGCCCACTACGGAGGCTATCAGCTGCACAGATACGCACCCCAGCAACAGCAACAGCAGCAACACATCCTGCTGAGCACCGGCAGCAGCAGCAAGCACACCAGCAATAGCAACAGCAACAGTAACAGCAACAACACAGCAGCAACATCAGCGGTTGTGCCAATAGCAACATCCGTTGCTGCAGTGCCGACCAGCGGCGGCAGCTTGCCGAACAGTCCCGCCCACGAATCGCATTCGCACGAGTCCAACTCCGCGACCGCCTCCGCGCCGACCACGCCCTCGCCGGCAGGCAGCGCCACCAGCGCCGCCCCCACAGCGACAGCAACAGGAACCGCTGCGGCAGCAACAACAGCAACTGGCGCACAAGCAACGTCGGCCGTTAGCGACAGCAACAACAACCTGAACAACAGCAACAGCAGCCGCGACAGCAGCAACAGCAACGCCATAATGGAGAATCAGATGGCTTTGGCCCCACTGGGACTTTCGCAGAGCATGGACTCCGTGAACACGGCCAGCAATGAAGAAGAGGTGAGTGACAGCTTCCATTTCTCTATCCGAAATATATACGAAATAAAAATATATGAAAAAGTAAGCGAAAACGAAAACGAGAAAGAATTGGCCCAGCAGCGAAATGCGACAAAAGTGACAGCTTGGGGAATACGGCGGAGTCCTGCATACTGAAATATTGCCTGAGTTGGTGTAGAATCGCGCAAAGTTATCCTGGCAGCTGAAACTCTAAGTAGAGTACTAGAATTTGGGCTGAAATTTACATTTATGTACATAAGCAAGGTCCATGCAAATTATTCTGGGAAATATCTTGGGAGGTTTTGGTTATAGCTTAGTTAAGGCAAGTTTAAGCATTTTCTGAGAAGAAGTTTCCTTATAATTTTGATAATTTAATGAAATTGGAATACAGCATGGCAACATCCGTTGGAAATAAGCTTGCTATTTATTATGTTTAGTTATCTTTATTCAAACTATTTGAACGCATACCAGTTAATTAATGTGTAATAAAAGAAAAAAATCTTATAAAAATATACAAAAGAGCTTACTTAAAAAAAATGGCTGTCATGAATTTTTTAGAAATTTGAACTATGAATACTTATAGAAAACTTCAGTTCATTAACCAGATTTCAATTTATTTATTAAAATTCTCAATAGATCATAAATTTAAAACTCATTTATGCATATGTACTTTAAACACATATGGTGTATATAAACCATTTTCAATCATTCGCTTTCATTTGATTCATTTAAAGACTTTCGCCTGATTTCGAGCTGCAATAGAAAGCATGATCGATATGTCGAGTGCTGGCCCCATACAAGCATATCCCCTGAAATAATGGTGCGCTACATCAACTGGCAGCTCGGGCGTAGAATTTTTGTTTGGCGCCCTTTGTTTTTGGGCAAAAAGGGGGGCAGCCTGCTGCTTTATGAAGGCAGAAAAATAAGGGGAGGGGGTGGAGGTAAGGTGGGGCGACGCCTTTGCAGTGTAAGTGGCGTGTGCATCCAATGGTGGTGCTACTGCTGCTCCTGTTGTTGTTTCCTACATTTTGATTATGCGCCTTGTCTTATGCTACACATATTTCACGCTGCTTTCCTTTCATATTTCTTCGCAGCAGCATGCCACGCGTAATCCGCGCGGCACGTGCCCAACCACCCAACCCACCAGCACCCCACCGAACCACCCAACCACCGCACCACCCATCGTTCGCTTCGCTGCACTGCCTTCATGTCAAGTGGGTACGTGGCCTTACACGCATACAAAGGCCGTTGGTGGGGGGGAGGGGGTTGTTTAAAAAAGGGGGTCTACTACTACTACCACTACCGAGCGATGCGTTAAATTTGATTTCATCCTTGATAAAAAAAAATGTTCTTACTTTTGTTTTACTTTTCTCGTTTCTACTGCGATTATGGATTTTATGCGCGCGTGATTTTGGGAAATTTATTGAAGTCCTTTATCGCACAGGTTGGTGAATAGTTGGCCAAAGGTAAAAGGATAACGTGTTTTCAAGTTAAAGTTGCAAGCGAGTAGTGAAAGAATATTTCTTACACTAAAAATTTAATTTATGTATTGTTTTTCTATTAACTTAAAAAAAGCTTGAAAAAAAGGATATTAAAAAAAGGATGTGGAAAAACATATATTTTCAGATTTGTTCATTGCGTTGTAAAAACTAAAAGAATATGAATAAAATACAAAATTTAAGTTTTCGTTTACCTTAGTCCAGTAGCAAGCTAAATTTAACCAAGAAAACGTTTTTAAAATGCAGAAAAATTCTCTTAAGTGTTCAGAACCTTTTCCCGTCTTACTGCGAAAATTCTCGTACGGAAATTCGCATTAAAAATGCATCAATCACTTGACTCCACTTTCATTTCACCCCATCCCCTGCAGTTTGAGCCAAAGTAAAAGGCGAGAAAGATCCAGGGCGAAGGAAGATAAAGTTGCACATGAAAATGAAAAATATTACCGACTAGGAGACTTAAATTAATCAAAGTAAATATCAAGCCGAAAAGTAAACGAAGGCAATCTTCCTGCAGTGCGAATGGAAGAAAAAAATGAAGGCAAGGGGCTGAGGGTCGTTGACCTGAACCTGGAAAAAGAGTTGCAAATGCAATTCACCTTTTCCGTAGCCCTCAATCTCCATTTTCTCTCACTCTTTCCCATCCCATTCATTCACACTGCATTCTGACTTCATTTGTATTTATGAGTATTCCCCCCACTTCTTTTGGTCCTTCGCGTATGTGTCTCTGTGTGTGAGAGCTGCATGAATTATTGATAAGTCAATTAAAAAAGTATGACAGCGGCTGATGGTTGGTAAATATTTTACAGAGACCTCAAGCCAGGGGGCTAGAAGCATATCCTTGATGAATCCTGGCCACGCTGTTTGCTTGTCATCTGCAGGCGGCAACATATTGCTTTTCTTTCATTTAAACGTTTTACGAGCAAGGAAGCCAATTCCCCCAAGCTTCACTGCGACAAAATTGCGACTTAATTGAAAAAAATCATCTTGAGATGGGTAGAACAAATTTCAAAAATTCAAAAGTTTGTCAAGTTTTTTAATATTAAATCTTTGTTGAACTTTTTTTATCCACTGGGTTTATACAAACTAATATTTGTGATTATTTAAAATCTCCTGAAAATCAGTTAAATTAAAATTGAAAATTAGATTCAGCCATCATATTTTATGTTCAAAATTTAAGCAGTATTCAATTGAAGAAACCAGAAACAATACTCTTTAGTATACAACTGAGGAATACAAATTTGTGGATTTTTTTTTAGTGATGAGGGTGCCGGAGAAGGAGAGTCCAAGAGTCCGGATGCAAAGTGGCGGACTTCTGGGGCCATCGAGCAGCCAAGTGTGCGCAACCTGCCATATAAAAGTGTGTGCGATGCAATCGAGTGACCTCTGGTCCTTAGATCCCTCTCAGATTCCGCCTACTTAACCCCTCCGGCTGCAACAACAAGTTTGTGGCAGCACGTTCTGCTTTGTTTAAATGCAAAATGTGAGAATGTATAAAGTAAACTTAATAGAACTTGTCACAGATGTCCTTTGGCCCCGAACCCCGTTTGCCTGGGTTGACATCACATCCTGCCCAAAGTTGCGCACAATTAAACTTTTAACTTTTTGCCAGTTTGCAAGAGGAATTTTCCCACCCCTCTACCCCTCCCAGGAGCCGCCCCTTGTCTGGCACTTTTTATGCACATTCCACATTTTTGTCATGTGCACTCAACGGAAATTGCCATGTGCCAAAATGGTAGCTGCCTCAGCCTCAGCTTCCCACTTTCCCACTTTCCCACACCAACCGCTTTCCATTTCCACTCCCATGACAGTTTGCAGTTTTCCAGTTTGTTTGCATTATTTTGTTTCACATTTTTTTTCAATTTGCTTATTTATTTGCCGTTGTTTGTGCACAAAATTGCAAATAGAATAATGGCCAAGGAATATCAAAGTTGAGAGTTTTGGCCACTAGGTGGCGGGCGTCAGACTGTCAGCCTGTCTAACGAACAGAGGGAAAAGTTAGCAGTTTCCCTGTCGCAACTGTTGCTCACCTACTGTATGGCTATGGCTAAAAATAAAAAGAGCACAGTACCGAAATGTGTGTATAAAACCTATGGGAAGGAAAGGGAAAGCAAATGCTTTTGGCCCAATGCATTTGGCTAAACAATTCACGCCCCACTTGGAGCTCTCTTCACACATTTTGTGTGCAGGGCAACCCATTTTACCCAGCCCCTGATCAAAAATGTCAACTGTATTTTATTTACTTATTTACATTTGCATTTTATTTGTCCTTGCTCTTTTCAGTCCCCGGTTAACCCCTCGAAATGCCAAAGAGTTGAGTGTTCTGATTTTTCCATTTATTTTTTTGTTTTTGACAAGGCTTTTAAGCCAACATCGATGCAGTTGGCAAATTGCTTTACGTGGTCAAATGTTTGGGACCCGTCTGTGCCACTTTTAAATTCCATTTCCGATCAGGTAACAATGTCCACTTTGCGGCCAAGTCCTTGAAGCATCTTGAGCGCCATTAGGAGAAGTCAACTGCCGACCTTTGGGTTAAGCTTAAGTTGATTAAGTCAACACTTGACGAATTTTCTTGCTAAATAAAACTGGCAGTAATAGATTGCAGGCATTAAAATTATAAAAAAGAAACTTATTTCTCAGTCACATACATTCATAAATGCGCAAGAAATGAATAAGCGAAAGCATTGTTAAAAAACACTATTTAAATGCCTCTTTTCTAGACAGCTTTTTTCAGTGTAGCTAAAGACTACATGAAATTGAGGAAAAAGAAAAAAGGATGAAGTTGCCTTTTACGGAATGGGTGGTGGCTTAATTCAATTTGGCTAAGGACAATTTCGCACTAAACGAAATTATTAAAAGGTTCAGGCCAAAAGAATGAAACGAAAGGAGAGGCAAGACTCTCAAGATGTTATCGGAAATAATTTGTGTAAAACTAGAGGTGGCAACATAAAAAAAATTAAAAGAAAAGCTGCACTCAGCTAGAGGTCGTTGAAAAAAGATCCAAGATAGCTTAAAGTAGTTTGGAATGGTTGGAAGATGCATCTGAGTTAGTTAAAGTGGCTTTGTTATCGAAATCATCAGTGGATTTGACCTTTTCGATCCTGCTGGGAAATGAGAATTGGAACGTGACTTGTGGCAGCTGTCGCTGATTAAACTTCAATTAATAAAACAAACGCCATGCAACGTCACCTCGTGTGACACTTCCCTCCAACGCCCTTTTTCCCCTCCTATCGGCTTACGGTGCTCATTATGCATTTAACATGCATTAACCTACCGCCGTGTAATGCAATTAAAAGCGCCAGCTGAACACATAAATTACACGCTTAAATAATGCAGAAATTAATAAGTTCTGTGCGGCCTCGACTCCCAGGCCATAATTCTTAATTACCTGTATGCGTGGGTGAAAGGGAAGATGGCGTGCCACAGGTGAGAAGAAAAGCAGAAAGCTGATGGAGATGAGGTGAAGGAAGTGCAGCCATAAACTCCGGCATATATTGCATGCTGGTA